TCCTCTTGGAAACCTCAGTTTTGCTTTTAAGGCTTTTTTTTTTTTTTAATGTTTGTTTATTTTTGAAAGAGAGGGAGAATGCGAGTGGAAGAGGGACAGAGAGAGGGAGACCCAGAATCTGAAACAGGCTCCAGGCTCTGAGCTGTCAGCACACAGCCCAACGCAGGGCTCGAACTCATGAACCGTGAGATCATGACCTGAGCCGAAATCAGATGCTTAGCAGCCACCCAGGCGCCCCAAGGCTGGGCTTTAACTGATTGGATGAAGTCCCTCATATTATGGAGGATAATCTCTTACTTAAATTCAGTGGTTTATAGATGGATGTGAAGCACATCTACAAAATGCATGACATGTAGGTTCATGGTCTACTGAATAACTGGGTACTCCAGCCTCGCTAAATTGACACACAGAATAACATTCACAGTCCACGTAAAGTATCTTTAATCCCCAAATAAAGTACTTCTAACATCAAACAACTAGCCCACATACAGAAAACATGTTAACTCTCCCCAGAAGAGGATGCAAAGTTCTTAGGTGATGCTCACTTCTCTCCTTCATATACTATAGCTTAAGTGCTATGACATAGGTTAACCATTTAGAAAGAAATTTTTAGTGTTTATTTTTCAGAGAGAGACAGAGAGTGAGTGGCGTAGGGGTAGACAAAGAGGGAGACAATCTGAAGCAGGCTCCAGACACTGAGCTCAATGAAGGGCTCAAACCCACAAACTGCAGGATCATGACCTGATGCTGAAGTCGGACGCTTAACCGATTGAACCACCCGGGCGCCCCAAGGTTAACCATTTTTCATACATCTTGTGTTAGGTACTATGAGGACACCAGAGGGAAGTAAAAAGATTTGCTTCAATATGTGTGTATTTATAATGCATACATAGGTATTTGTTTATGTACACACAAACCTGACAAAACAAGGAAGAAAGGTAATAATCAGCCCTTGTATCTCCCGCTGAGTAGGCAGTTGTAGCTGCTATTTAGAACTGCCTTTTATTACCCATTCCTTACTCCCTCGGCAAGCACCTGGGCTGTTCATGCCTGTGCCTGGTTGGGTGGCCCAAACACTTATTCTTGAAGAATCCAAGCCATTGGTTGTCCTCCCCGAATGGATTGTAGTTTTCCATTGGTTTTAGTCACAGGACCTGGTGGTACTGAGATGCCCTAGAGGATCCCCTGTATTGTGAACATACTCTTACCTCCGCTGTGCAGTAGTAGCCCAGTTGCCCCCTGGAAGTCAAGATCGGGCATCCCAGCCGGTACAGTAATTCCCTTCTTTATCTGTTGAATCGGAGATAGAATCCCACAGTAGCTGATGGCAGGCTTAATGTCCAGTGTAATGGAATCACTGGGTAGCCTGGTGGAAGGCTTCCTCCCTTGGGAACAGACGCCTCTAGACTACCGCAGCACAGAACATGGGGACATTGCCCCAGCCCAGCAAGGTACTGCCGCCTAGGTAGTGCTGTAACTGAGTCTTCCAAAGGCCATTCCACCAATTCTATCAGGCCTGCTGCTTCAGGATGAATGGGGAACATGGTAAAAGTAACAATTTCCATAAGCAAGATGAGAAATATTGCCTCCCAAAGCCAAAGAGGGCCCTCGGGTATTGTGCCTCTTGTTTGGTTGTGAGAGGGGCCAGATGCAACAAGGTATCCTTTACCTTAGAAAAGATACCTTAGAGGCACCTGGGTGGCTCAGTCAGCTGAGCACCTGACTTCACCTCGGGTCACCATCTCACAGTTCATGAGTTCACGCCCCACATCAGGCTCTGTGCTGACAGCTCGGAGCCTGGAACCTGCTTTGGATTCTGTGTCTCCCTCTGTCCCTGCCCCTCCCATGCTCGTGCCCTGTCTCTCTCTCAAAAATAAATAAACATTAAAAATTTTAAAAAAGAAAAGATACTTGACCTGTCCACACCTATGGACCCCTAGAATTTCAGTGAGGTGGAAAGCCCGTGAGTTTTTGCTGACTATATTTCCCACCCTCAAATAAATGTCTTACCAATAAGTCTAGAATCCTTGCTACTTCTTCCTCCTTAGGTCCAATCAGCATAATGTCATCAATGCAGTGGTCCCATATGATGTCTTATGGGCAATATGATCACAGCTGGTGGACTGAGTTATGCCATGGAGCTGAACTGATAAATGTCTGAGGTAGGATGGTGAAAGGTGTATTGCTGGCTTTGCCAAATAAAGCAGGCTGCTTTTGGTAGTCTTTACTAAGAGCTATCAAGAAGCATACATTTGCCAGATCGGGGAGCAGAGGATGTGTTAATTTCCTCAAGCAATGGAATCACATCTAGAACAGTAGCTGTGATTATAGTCACCACCGGATTAATTTTGTGATCATCCACCGTCATTCTCTAAGATCTGTCTATTTTCTGCAAAGGTCCAGCAGGTGGCTTGCATGGGGATGTGGCAGAAATCACCTTGCCTGCACCCTTCAAGTCTGTGGTGGTGGTGCTAATCCCTGAAACCCCTCCCCACATGTGGTATTGCTTCTGGTTTGCTATCTTCCTTGGTAGAGACAGTTTCAGTGACTTACATTTGTCATTTCCAACAGTAGTAGCCCTCACAACGCAGATCAGAAAAACAGGCTGCATATTTTGCCAGTTACTAAGTCGATACCAATCAAGCATTCTGGAACTGGAGAAATAACCACGGGTTCAGGAACTCACTGGACAAGCTTCTCTGGTTTCATCCTTGCCGCTTCTGTGGAAAATCCAGTTCCTCTCGAGTGTCTTCCAGATATTTCTGCGAGTCCCCATAGAGCACTTTACATATACTCCTGAAACCGATTTTTTGCAGGCACCTGCCAATTTCATTCTCTGGGATGAGCCACCCTGGCCATTGCTGCTGTACCGAGTGCCTAGATGCTGCTGAAGGCCAAGGGCATGGTCTTCACAGCTATAAATGTGACACAACACACTATCCCAATGTCCTCCCCTTGAGGCCCTAGTGAGAATGCCGTGGGCGTGAGTACCAGGCAAGATTGTGCTCAGAATCACCCCTCCCCTATGGCAAGGGTCCATAATCCATTAATAAGACACTTGCATCCCAACCTTCTCTTCCCTCTGGTGCATTCTTTCTCAAGAAGGCTCTCGGTTCCTTTTCTCTGCCACTTCACTAGGTCAGCATGACTCGAAATGGAGTCCACAAACTGGGCCGTTAAGCCTAGGAGCAGTACGTGACAAGTACGTAAGTTGAGAGTAAGTGTTTAAACGCCAGCAATTAGACATAACCAACTTCATGTCTGTCGATTTTGATAATAAGAAATTGAGACTGTGATATTTGTAGTTTGACTTCATGTCTCTAATGACTTACTTTTATTGGATTTTACAAAGTCTCAGTCCGTGATAGATCAGGAATTTTAAAAAGGGAAAAGAAAGCCTGATCCTTCACTGCAGATGATGGCGGAAACTGCCGCACATCATGACCAGACAGTCTGAGTCTGAAGCGGCTGGGTGTAGGCTCAAGCCTGGAATCTGCTATGAGCATACTTGGCCTGGAGGGGTTCAGCAGGGAGTTCGGCAAAAATGCGCGTTTGTGGCAACGAACCTGAAGCAGTGGAGGGGAAGGGAGGGAGGATTGATCTTAACGCCATTCTATTCTCTTGCTCTTGGCCTGAAATCGGGACACAGCCTAACTCTCTGACCCATGTTTGGCGAATGTGAGGAGCGGAGATGGAAGAACCCAGTCTTGCATGCCATGTGGGTGGGAAGAGAAGGGCCGTGGTCTACTGAGTGTTCTGCTATCTAGTGGCTCTGTCCTAGGGGACAGGATGCCCTGAGAGGCACTGCTAGCTGTCCCTACCATGGGGGCGACTCCGCTAGTCCAGAGGGAACAGGGCTGCTGTGCGGTAAGATTTTCCCGGGCAGAGTTCTGAGAATACCTGCTAATACGTTGGCTGTGCCTTGAGTGGCCCTTCCTTTATGATAAACACATACCCGGTAACGGACGGGACCTGACGCAGACACCCCGCTGGCCGTTCTCCCAGACAGCCCTGCTCTGATTTGCTGTTGGCACAAAACATCCTTCCTCATTTGGATTTGGAGAAATAGCTGAGGGACCTGTACCAGGCTCCTGGCAGGGGGCGAAATCATGACCACTTTCCAGGGCTGCTGAGAGCAGGTAAAGCATCTAGCGGCGTACGAATTACACAGTATGTTACATTATAGGTGAGCTTGACCTCTTTGTGTCAAAACCCTCTAAAAAATGACTGTATCCCTGCTGAGGTATACTCTCTATCGTGCAGCTTTGTGTGTGCCTCATGTGCAGAATTTGTCTTACTTAGTTCTATACATGATCATGTATTTAAATTTATTTTGAGAAAGCAAGTAAGTAAGCACCAGCAAGGGAGAGACAGAGAGAGAATCCCAAGCAGGCTCAGAGCTGTCTTCGCAGAGCCTGAAGCGGGGCTTGAAACCTCGAACCGTGAGATCGTGACCTGAGCCAAAAATCAAGAGTCAGACGCTTAACCCACTGAGCCACCCAGGTGCCCCATTTTTATTTTATTTTTAAAGTTTATTTATTTATTTTGAGAGAGAGAGAGACAAAGCATGAGCAGGGGAAGGGCAGAGAGAGAGGGAGACACAGAACCTGAAGCAGGCTCCAGGCTCTGTGTTGTCAACACAGAGCCCAATGTGGGGCTCGAACCAGGAACTATGAGATCATGACCTGAGCTGAAATCCAGGGTCAGATGCTTAATGGACTGAGCCACTCAGGTGCCCCTGTATGTATGTATTTATTTATTATGTTTTCCATTTTTAACTAAGAGCTCCTTCAGGACCGAGACTATTTCTTCAACTCCAAATTCTTCATAACACCCAATCTAACAGAAGTGGATTCTTCATTGCCATTTATGACACTAATCGGTTGTATTTCTTTTTAAAGTATAGATATTAAAAATATTTTAATAACAAAACATTACAGGCACAGCAAAATGCTTTTTAATAAACTTAACCAAAGAATATAAATAAACAGGACATATTTTACAAAAAAATAAGAATGATATTACCTACATAAAGAAAAACTCTTTGTTCTAAGAAAATAAAACATAAACCCGCATGTCTCAGTGAGGATTCATTTGCAACTGCTTACTTTGTGAACTTGACATAGTGCATTTTTAAGTTTCCATTTGCTTTATCTCATATGATACAAACAACAGTATACATGAAAGACCTTGTTGAAATACACAAGAGTGTATGTAATCTCTGAGTCCTAGATGTTTAAGTAACAGAAGAAACTTATTCATCAAGGTACACATTTGGAACGGCAAAAGCAGTGTTCTATCCTAGCCTCGCACCATACACCGTAATCTTTTGTATTTGGGGTCTTCCTCCGCTCTTATTTCCCTTCCAACTTCTATGTAAAAAAAAAAAAACAAAACAAAAAAAAACAGTATTAATAAAGATAAGAGAAGGGGTTAGAATCTGTTTGAGCTCTGGATGCCAGTTCATTGTTAACCTATTTCAATCCTCGTATTCTAATTTGAAAATGCGGCCTCGCACATCATTGTTCATTTCAGGCAGTTGCGCCTTCAGCTGGCCAAGGTGTTGCGCCTTCAGCTGGCCGCGGAAGTTGGTCTTGAATAAGGTGCAGGGCGCTGTGCGACCTCAGGGCAAGGGGTTCATTCCTACTTGCCCCAGGCCAACGCCTGCAGCTCGCCCCGGGGAAGGGACGGTCACCACACACTCGCTTGACAAGCCTCTCGGTCTGTTGGATGAAGACAACTGAGTGCTTAGAAGTACTCTATTATTGTTCTAGTTACAAGAATGATAACACTGTTACTATTAAACTACAAGTTATCTACTATGTTATTGCCTTTCCTCCAGTTATGTTTTCTTACTCTTTAAAACATTTCCCACAAAATGATTAAGAGATGTTTTTTAGGTTTTAACCTTCCTTTACCTTTCTCATCCCACCTAAGTGTCTCTAGGACACGTACTTCTCACAGGCTTGTCATTAGAAGGGAAGGAAGGACCCACTAGATTTCTGAGCCTGTTACAAAGAGAAAAGAAATTTCCCATTGTAGTTTTGTTTGGTTTTCTGTATAAAGAAAAAAAAAAAAAAGCAGAACTAACCCTGCCCCCCACCCTCAGTCTTTGGTGTTGGCTATTTCTATATGCTTTCTGTAGAAGCAGCCAAAGAAAGCACGGAGCTGTTCCCTTCCTGGTTGGTAGCACAACCTGGGTGTCGCAGGAACTGACCGTGACGCAGAACGGGACGCCCGGCACCTAGCGCCACGCAGCTCAGTGACCTCAGTGAGGGAAAACAAAACCCCTTTATCTTCTGTGGCGTGTTCTAAGAGTGAGCACGCCCGGGTCGGTGCTTCATCGGCTTCCACCAGAAGGATGATAGCTTTGGTATTCTCACGGGGATGACAACGTCCTGAAGGGCAAGCAGTGACCCGTGCGTGAGCAAACGTGGTGGGTTCCAAAAGGTCCAAATCTGCATGTGCTTTTGGTTTGTTTCGAAAGAAAAATCCTTAGTCAGCCTTCTTCTGAAGCCTGCTGTGGATCACAACATCAGGGACCGTTCCGCCCTGCTCCCGGGTCAGGGCATCCTTGGTCAAGGAAGGTCTATTTAAAGATGAACGACCGAGATCGGATTGTCCCTTCCCTTTGGTCGAGCTGCTTTCTTATTTGAGACTGTAATAGAGCAAACACACATGCATATTTACTGCTGAGCAATTTTAAGACCACAAACTTAACAAATATTAACTAAGCCATGCCGGTTAGTAAGGACACCATGCAACTAAATTCATTAACATGTGACACCCCCAGGGCGCCTGGGTGGCTCAGTCGGTTGGGTGGCAGACTTTGACTCAGGTCATGATCTCATGGTTCGTGGGTTCAAGCCCTGCATCAGGCTCTGTGCTGACAGCCAGCTCAGAGCCTGGAGCCTGCTTCAGATTCTGTGTCTCCCTCTTTCTCTGACCCTCCCCTGCTCACGCTGTCTCTCTCTCTCAGAAATAAAACGTTAAAAAAAAAAAGTGACGCCCCCAACCCGCACCGAATTTCAATATGGCTTTCTGTATTTTTTGCAGGATAAATATTGAAAAGTAGTTGCTGAAAACATGTACAAGTTGGGAATTGGCCTACTACTCATGGTAATTCATAAAATGCAGTACTATTCAATGAATCAAAATGAATACTTAGGTCTAAATTTATTGCCAGGGGAAAATGTTTATGACACATTGTCAGTGGAGTGTGTGTATAAAGAACAGTAAAGAATGATTAAATTTTGTTTTTAAATATCTGCACAGGAAGAAGTCTGAAAGTGTGTGAATTTGATATATATTTACTTTGATTTTTCTGTAATAATGATGTGTCACTTGCATAATTACAGAATACAAAGAATAAAAAATTGATTCATATCTGAGCAAATGTTTCATGTGCCAAAGTAGTTCCCCACTGAATATGAAATACATTGGAACTATCTAAAAATAAATGGGGGGAGGGGGCTATGTGACTTAGTCAGTTAAGTGTCCGACTCTTGATGTTGGCTCAGGTCATGATCTCATTCACGGTTTGTGGGTTCGAGCTTCACATCGGGCTCTGTACTAACAGCACTCAGCCTGCTTGGGATTCTCGGTCTCTTTCGCTCTGCCCCTCCCCTGCTTGCTCTCTATCTCTCTCTTTCAAAATAAATGAATAATAAAAAAAAATTTTAATAATAAAAAATAAAAATGAGTGGTATACTTATTTGGATTTTAAGCTGAAAATATAACCAAAAACAAAAGTCCCAGCATCTAGAAAAGAACACTCAGCAAGTTTCTTCATAAAAAAAGTACAAAAAGTTTTTTATGTTTGAAAACATTAAGAGTTTCAAGATGGTATTTATAGAAAATTTTAGAAAGCTTTAAGGACACGTTCTTGACTAACAACTCACGAAGCTGCAAAAACATATACAAAAAATGTATGAGGCGGGTGAATTATTATAAGCACTTTACAAGGAAGCAGATAAAATAAACCACATTTCATCCTTGATCTTCACGAAGTAACATACTGGAAGCTAAGGTAAGTTCCTCCAGCAAGCTTCCCTCTGTATTTGAAAGGATTTTCTACTATCAAAATATGGCAACTTGCCTCTGCATGACCTTCCCGTCCCACATGTCCTCCTCCAGGCAAAACTGGACCAGGCCACTCAATCAAAGGAAGACTCATCTTGAGGGCGTGAGGCTAAGGATCCAGGGCTGAGACCCCAGTGCAGCCCTGTCCTTTCTCTTTTATCCCCGTCTCCATGCCTTCTGTGTCTCATAAGAAACGGACTGTTGCACAAGCCTGTCAACGGACATCCCATTCGCTCTTGGGGATAGTCTGACACTTGCAATAGAAATATGTTTGAAGTCATCAATGTGTTATTTCCGAGTGCTAGACGTCCAGAGGACTTGTGTAACTCACCAGTTTCCAGCGTAATATCTTGATCCACTCATCAGCTTCTACTCCTGTCTTTGCACAGAGATAAAATGTCCTGAATGGAAACACCAAGCTGTGAAGATGAAAGAAAAACAGAAGATACTCCAGATGGTTGGTTGAATGTATTAGTTGAACAGTAATTAGAATATTCAGCGGGAAAAAATAATCAACAAAGAGCAACTTGGAGAACTGATAAATACAGAGTGATTCCTGCCAACAAACGGCAGAAATGTGGAGGAAGTTGTGGATTCATACTATTATTACTGGTCAGATTTCTATTTTCTGATGAAAAATCAAAGAAGAAAAAAGCATGTCCAGGACACTCACAGATCCTTTTGTTGCTTATGTCTTAGGCTGAATACGACACTTGTGTGTTTGTGCAGCTGATGTGTTAAATGACTCCGAGCCCCAGCTATGATTCAAAGAATCAGCAAGACAGATAAGAGTTTACTGCAGAAACCCATTTGTATTGGCTTGATTCGCTGAGAAATAAGCTGCTTTGTTGGATGGAGGTAGTTTTAACTAATTAGGACAGGAAAAAGAAAGATAATAAATCCCAACTATTCATTTTGCCCACCGTGTCATGAGTTAATCTCTGCTGGAAGAAGACAAACTTTCCTACAGGCATGAAAACTTATGCTAGGAATATGGTAGCTCTTCATTGCCTATCTCTCTTTGGCCATATAGTCAAATCTTTTGACTAAAAAGGTCAGCCCTAACTTACATCTTGCCCGTACTTCCTGTCTGAAACACTAAAAATCCTTTTTTCCTCTCTCATGAGGAAAAAACAAAAAGCCTTGAACTCTAATTCAGAAGGGTTTCTATATCTTAAAGCCAAAGCAGCATATCTTGTTTTATCAGTAATTAATGTTGAACAGACAAGAAGTAAGTCCCTGTGTATAGAAGGTAAATGTTATTGTGAGGTCCAGCTGGGTGGTGAGGGGACAGTGGCGGTGCGATCCAAAACTGGTTTCTGGAATTGTCATTGTTTGGTACTGCTCTCGAGAGACATTATTAATTGCCTGTTAATGCTGATAATTTTTCCTTTCTTCTTGTTAACAGAGGCCCAGGCAATAAATTATAATTAGTTGGAGCCAATTATGATCATACTAGTTTTCTAGCTTTCCCTGCTGCTGCTGCTGCTGCTGCTGGCCCCAGGCCCCACCCTTGGCCAGTGAGGTAGGAGGGGAAATCTGATAGAAGATTTCCGAGAAGACTTCTGCTTTCCTGATAAAAAGGGACAGACGTGGGTGATCCCATCCCTATACCCTTCTTCGTGATTGACATGAACATGTGAGGCCTACAGCTGGAGTATTATCTTGGACACTGAAGTAGCAAGTGAATTGCTAAAGGCCAGGAAACTGTGGAGACACTGGCAGCCATCTTGTCAGGTGAGGGACCTGCCTCCTGATTTGTTATATAAGCAAACTCCTCCCCCCGCTGGCTTGTATGGTACCTTTAAGTGAATTTTAAAATGGTATCCATTATTGATTAATGTTACAGAATTAATGTTAATTTCCTTGGGTGTGTTATGGTGACATTGTTATTTTTTTTTTATTTTTTTTTTTATGTTTTACTTTTATTTCTAGAAGAGAGAGAGTGAGACAGCGTGAGCAGGGGAGGGTCAGAGAGAGAGGGAGTCACAGACTGAAAGAGGCTCCAGGCTCCGAACTGGCAGTCAGCGCAGAGCCCGACGCGGGGCTCGAACCCACGAACCGTGAGGTCATGACCTAAGCGAAAGTCGAACGGCTTAACCGACTAAGCCACCCAGGCGCCCCAGTGACATTGTTATTCTTCAAGGGTATACACCCACGTGTATATGGGTAAAGTGCCATGATGTCTCCAACTTGCTTTCAATTGGTTCAGGAAAGAAAATGACAGGAAATGGCAAGATATTAATAATGCATCTAGCTGAAAGGTATGTGGGTATGTTTGAAAAATATGAAAATAAAGTTGGTGGGAAATAAGGCACTCCTTTTCAAGACACGTCTCATTGGCATGATGCGCTGATTAGGTTAGAGCGACACACTTTTGTGTTATCTGCCAGAAATAGTCATACTAATACAAATCACCCATCGTGACAGTCAGCAAAGTTAAAATTGAGTAAAAAACTCCAAAGGAATAAAGCTAAGATGTGAGTGGCATCCTGCCACATATGTACTTACGCAATGTACAACATGAGCAATTATGCCATCAGACCTGCCTATTTGTTTAAGTCACTTTAAACGAAGTGTTATGTCATGCTCAGCTGGAAACATTCCGAACATTCATGTGCTCTGTGTTTGTTCAATCCGTGCCCCTCAGATCAAGACATTTGTACACATTAAGACATACAGGGTTTGTTTTTTATTCATCAGCTAAAATAACTGTCTGCCAAGACTTTTAAAATCATTTTCTTTACAAGACAACTTACCAAAAACAGTTTACTCTTTCCTGTGAATAATCAAATTGTACAGCTGAACATTCTGTTAAGTCTAGGATCCGAATTGGTTCTGGTGACTTTAAAAAAAAAAAAAAAAAAGGAAAATATCAACCTATATGTCATCACAATAAAACACACAAATTTGTCCATCATTTATCCCTCTAAAAATCTTTACTTTCACTAAGGGGACTGATCATAGAGAACCTTCCTAAGGGAAGTCATAACCCTTGGTTTGGGGATTGGCTATTCATGAAACTGAAATTTAGGAAGAGATTGTCTTCATCAATTTAAATTTGGTGAGGTAGGATTTTTAAATTTTTTTAATTTAATTTTTAATTAATAATTTATTTTTAATTTACATCCAAGTTAGTTAGCAAATGGTGCACCGATGATTTCAAGACTAGATTCCTTAATGCCCCTTACCCATTTAGCCCATCCCCCCTCCCACAACCCCTCCAGCAACCTTTTGCGTGTTCTCCATAATCAAGAGTCTCTTACGTTTTGTCCCCCTCCCTGTTTTTATGTTATTTTTTGCTTCCCTTCCCTTATGTTCATCTGTTTTGTATCTTAAAGTCCTCATATGAGTGAAGTCATACGACATTTGTCTTTAGCGGGGATGGATTTTAATCATAGAAGGGAGTCATGTTTTTCTTTCATGTTTTTAAACTTCTACTTCCTCAGAAATTCAGTGTAGGGAAAATGAGAAGAAATAAAATAACTTCAAACTGGCTTCATGAAATGGGCATGGGAAACGGACATGCTTTAATAAAAGGAGAAGCTGCTACAGACAGAACTAATACATCCCGGCAAGAGAACAAAGCCATTGCCCTAAACAAGAGAATGATGTGCCCTGGGAAGCTGGCTTAGCAGTTCAAGAGAGCGGTTTCTGGGACACGCATCTCATCCTTGCAGAAGAGCTCTGCTCAAGGCACCTGGCTGGAGCATGAAGCTCTTGATCTCGGGGTCGTGAGTTGGAGCCCCACGTTGCGGGTAAAGATTACTTAAAAAGAAAAAAGACTCCCCTCATGTCAGGAATCAAGAACACACATTTCCAATCATTTATTGATGTTTCAGGTACTCATAAGGAAAATTTCAGAGATTTCAAAGGCAGATGTTCCTTGCATCTAGAGAGCTGATTTTTAAAGGGCAAATGCATTATGTGTCTCACCATCTGGTCTTTGAAGTATTTCAGCTCATTCCTGTGCAATGTGAACCATCTTGTTTTCCAGGTCTGAGAAAAAAAAAAAATCATTAAAACATGCAGGTTTTGAATAGAGGAGTACTATATTTGAACTGGATAATTTCCTTTAATGTGAACAGTATCTAAAAGATTAGATCCAATAAAATATTGTTGTGGCAGGTCATTTCTGAAGAAAGGGTTCAAAATGTCTACAAAAACGAAAGTGATTTCATGTATTAAGTTCGTAATGAAGATAGAGATATTGACATACTTAAGCAAATAAGAAGAAATAGTCTATCATAAATATCCAAGGTGATTTGTAACAAACCCTTAAATGTCTGTCTTACTGACTCTATAGTAAGAATATATGTCATTTTGTGAGCACCTACAATGGGCTACATACTATCCGTGGAGGTTCATATATATTATAGCCAGTCCTTACATGATGCCAAGATTCCTGTTTAACAAACTGAAGTTTAGGAACCTCAAACCACATAATTCTCTAAGACTTGCCTAAGAATTCCATGGCATTGGTAGCAGGAAATACTATTCCTCACCTCCTCAATCCTCCATACTGACAGAGCCCTCATCTTGGGTGGCAATGTGTCCAGTTAAAAGAAGTAACAGAGAACTTAAAAATAGATATGCTATGAATATAAATGCCCCCTATCCTTAAGGAGCATCCAGTCTGGTAGGGACGCAAATAAACAAATATTTACGTTGAATTCAAGAAGGCCAGTACCCATGAGAAAGGGTAAGTGCCCCAACTCCTACAATAGGGAAGAGCAGATCTATTCCATGAAGGCCTTCTTGGTACAATTACATAAATGGAGGGACAGTTGGATACCCCAGACTCGTAAAGTTCTAAACTGTGTTTTCTTCGGGATATTATAACATAGTTACATCAATGCCAGTGAAGTTTTGGGCCTACTTTTGGGTAAACATTTTATACAATTTTGACTTCTTTGTTAAAAAAAAATTAAAAAGAAGAATGTTCTAGAGTTAACTTGCTACTTTCATCCTCCATCCTTGATTGTTCCATTAAAAGGACCGTAGGTTTTGAGGGGAGGGGGAGGGTATTAACTGCAGGCTTCTCTTACACATTTGACTTTGCCAAAGAAAAGTCAAGTGATTTTCCAGAATTTTGACCAATATTAGTCATAAAGATCAACTCTTGAAACAGAAAAAATTTACAACTGGGCCAAAATGAGTAGGCAAGCATGTTTTAGAAAAAAATGTCAAAGTGAGAATTGAGCCTACATGGCATGCTCTCTTTCTCTGTGGCCGGCACTAGCAGAAGCACATTTCCTTACCTTGACCAGGCCCCCCTGTTTGGTGAGGTAACCCTCTTTGGTGCCCAGCTGAAAAAGAGAGAAGCACAAAGTAAAGCTCAGAACTATTGCAAGGTGATTTTTGTCTATTTCTGTCCTATTTTAAAATGAATCACAAGTTTGCCATCGATCTTTGAGTAATCACCTTCTGTTCTTCACCTAAGCACTTGAAAATCCTCCCTGTGTGGGGAGAGACTGTTTTCAGACTTGATTTTCTGGGGGAATCCTATAGCAACAGACAACAATTGAGAGACTCTTCTAACTTGAGTTAGCAAGTTGCAAAGAGTAAGCCACATCACATCACTTGTAAAAGTCAGTGTTGGGTAAAGTGTGTCATGTGAAACCGTTGCTTTGTTGCACGGGTATTAGGCAGCAAGACATGCACCCATATGTTCATGTTGGTTCAATAAATTTGGAAAATGCAGGACTGAGTAGGGACATTTCTTTACTTCCCAGAGTCTGTATGATGCCAATATGTCTTGTGAATTTTAAGAGGGCACATTAGAAATAGCATTTCCCCTATTTATTTTATCACATGATCATCCATCATCTCAGTATCTCTTTTTCACAGACCATCCCCCCCAGACCTCTGTTCCATGGAAAAGACTTTCAGGAAGCAGATTTATTTGTACTTGAAGTGACAACGAGTCCTTTCTTAACTCATGTAGCATTAATTCAAGGGTAACAGTATCACATACATAGCTAGCACCTATAAAAATGTAAGGCACGGTGGGGAACCGTGCAAAAGGAAATATGCCTAAAACAAGGACCATAAAGTGAAGACTTTATAACTCCATACATTCCTGAAGAAACTGAATTTTTTTTAATGTTTTTGGGGTTTTTTTTGTTTTTTCTGAAAGAGAGAGAGACAGCATGAGCAGGGGAGAGTCAGAGAGAGAGCGAGACACAGAATCTGAAACAGGCTCCAGGCTCTGACTTAGCTGTCAGTGCAGAGCCCGATGTGCGGCTCGAACCCACATCGTGGGATCATGACCTGCGCTGAAGTCGAATGCTTAACCAACTGAGCCACCCAAGCACTCCTGAAACTGAATTGTTTATAGGATATTTTGTCACAATTTATCTTATATTAGTAAGATAACAGAATAAAGAGAGGAAAATGTGGAAGCAAAGGAAACAAATTTTAGAAGGAAGGAGTCGTTAAAACAAGGATGAATCCCACAACAGGGAAGCTAAGGAAGCTGACATTTTATTTTTACATCTTAAAAATTTATTTATTTATTTTGAGAGAGAGAGAGAGAAAGCAGAAGAGGGGCAGAGAGAGAGTGAGAGAGGGAATCCCAAGCAGGCTTTGTGCTGCCAGTGTGGAGCCTGATGTGGCGCTCAAACCTGCAAATGGTGAGATCATGAAATGAGCTGAAATCAAGATTCAGATGCTTAACCAACTGAGCCACCCAAATGTCCCAGGAAGCTAACATTTTATTTTATTTTATTAAAAAAAATTTTAATGTGTATTTATTTTTGAGAGAGAGATACAGACAGAGTGTGAGTGGGTGAGGGGCAGAGAGAGAGGGAGACTCAGAATCCGAAGCAGGCTCCAGGCTCCGAGCTGTCAGCACAGAGATCAATGCCAGGCTCGAACCTACAACTGCAAGATCATGACCCAAGCCGAAGTCGGATGCTTAACCAATTGAGCCACCCAAGTGTCCCAGGAAGCTAACATTTTAGATAGGACTTATTCTGTGTCGGGCTCTTGAAATATATTATCTCCCTTAACCTTCACCAACAGAACCAACTTGTATTTCACATTTCCCAGAGCCCAAACAGGACTGCGGGTCCCCATCCGCCCCTCCTGCCAACCTGGCCGTGAGAACAGCGCAGGAGGCCTCCTCTGTGACTCGGCCACATACCACATTCAACCCACCGTAAGTCTCGTCTCTTCTACCTTCCAAACACAGCCTGACGTTCACCACTTCTTACTCCCACTGCCAGTTTTCCCCGCCCCTGTCTCACTGGACTGCGCCAACAGCCCCTCACCGTGCGCCTCACTCCAACTTTGCCAAACGTTCCACCATGCACTTAGTGGTGAGAACGAGCTTCTTAAAAATATTAAAACCTCATGTATGTCGCTCAAAACTCATATAATTTCTCCTCGACACTTGGAACAAAAAATAAATGCTTTACCTTATCCATAAGGCCTTTCATATTGTTAAGACAGCTGGCATTTTGGACAGGATGATTCTCCCCTACGTGTGGGGGCATAGGTAGCCTCCATGGCCCTTGCCTTTTCCACGAAACAAGTTTTCGGGGGTTCTCATGCTTCTGTATGTCTTCTGAGGAAGACACCAGCCCTTTTTCCCAGACCTATTCTCAAAATACGCTTGCAGAACAAACAACCCTAGTGCAAGTGGGGGAGGAGAGAGGAGGGAGGAGAGTAGAGAGAGGAAGAGGGAGGAGAGAGAGAATCCCAAGCAGCCTCTGCACTGTCGGCATGGAGCCTGATGAGGCTCGAACTCAGAAACTGTGAGATCATGAGCTGAAGTTCGATGCTTACCCAGCTGAGCCCCCCAGGCGCTCCTGAGCAAACGACCTTAGAAGATAGAAATAGTGTTTCCCTCTAGAGGAAAACGGGGACAAACAGAAGTCCCCCTGAGGCTGCAGAGCTTTGTTAGTTTGCAAGCAGGGTGAGGTCTCAGGCCCTTCTCAGTTCTTGACACCCATCAATGCCAGGAGGGCCCCAAAGCACCACGAATTTCCACTCAGCTGGGCGGCAGGCCCTCGGAGAACTCCACTGTTGTAGGCAATCAACCCCTCCTTCCCTCAAGCATCTCATGTTCCACCCCTTTCCCTCTCGCTCTCTTCATGCCAATCATTATGATCTTCTTGCGAGTCTGCAAAACACCTTAGTTTAGTTCTCACCTCAGAGTCTCTGTACTCTTCTCTCTGCCTGGGATGCTAGAAAGCGATGACAGTTTTCTGTCTGCGTTAATGCACAATAGACTTCACGGGTTTGTCATTCTGCAGTGGGAGGTGCAGTCACGCCCCACCAATCCGTCACCACTGTTTTAAAAACTCCATTGTACAGAATCCCCTGTGTCCAGTCATCCTGAGATACCTGGGCAGGAGAATCCATCCCATACTCGGAGTGAGCAAAGAAGGTGAGACATAAGACTGGCAGAATTTGGTTTAAAGAGGTCCCTTTCTATCTAAGGTCTATATCCATATAAGCTACATCCATGCTCACGCCAGCTCTACAGATCGGCTCTTGCAATTTACTGTTGATAAAGAAGGCAAATACTAGAATATGGCGCCACTGACTTTGAGCAGGGGTCTCGGGGTGGGGGTATAGGTGAGGAGAATGTGAAGTCACCTTGACGGGACAAATGACGAAAGAGATGTGAGGTGATTAGTGGCGCAGTAAGGATGGATAAGGAGGAAAGTCAGGGAGGGGTGGGTTGGCCGGAAAATGATTAGGGGGTAAGCCTTGATTTGGCCTTTGGTCCCTTCTGACTTGAGACCATTCCCTGTCTTGCTTTTAGAAATGTTGCTGGTTCTGAGGTTTGGTACTCCCTCTTCCCGCTCTAACAAAGCTAAAATACCCCTTTCAGCCAACTCCCACAATGCTTACTTTCGAGTAGATATAGGGCAGAGTGACGAAAATGTAACACACGCCCGTGAACCAGGCTAGGCTACAGAGCTCCGATGACAAGCTAAGATTCTTGTCCTGAGAAGTGTCAGCCTGCCGGGGACAGCAGACACATGCAGAGACGGTTATTATTAGCCTCTGGTGTGACGACGGCAGGGTCAAAGTGAGCCGTGTGTGCTCTGCATGCACAAGAGGGTCATTTTCAAGAAAGCTAGGAGGGGCCCCGGGAGGCTTCCTGAGAGACACTGATCTGTGATGAGCCCTGAAGGGTGAGGGGACAGCAGCAGTGTTGACAGCGTGTCAGAGGCAGGGAGGGGAGAAGGTGCAGAGCCAGAGGGATGCACGTGGCTGTGAGCCCGAGAGGAGCACAGGTGAGGCCACAGAGAGGAGCAGGGCCAGGTGCGCAGGGAAGACAGCGGCCACACCCAAGGTTAAGAGGGAGGTCAGGTGATCGATCCGCCTTTTAAGAAAGATCCCTGTGGTGGCAGAGTAGATAAAGTTCTGCAGAGACAGAGAGGCCACACATTTGTCATTTGGAGCCAAGAACCTTCAAGGGATGACTGTTTTCAGCTGTCATGGTTCCTGTCTAGAGTTGGTTCTGTGTGGTTCATTTGTTGTCTTCTTCACTCTCCGCACAAATCCTGACGCTTTATACGGGGCTTATTTGGCAAACCAGGAAGAGAGGAAGAACGGGAGAGCCCGAGCACAGGGCAGGGGAGCACTGCTTGGTGGGGTCCTTGCAGGCTCACGGCTCAGAAGCAGAGGCAACAGAAGTGGACTTGAGGCGCAGTGAGTGCTGCTGTTGCACTGAAATTGAACAAAGGCCCACGTTGCAAAGAAGTGCAAATGTTTTCTGTCTGTCCGTCCGTCTGTACCCTTCATCCAGGGGAGGAAAAAAAGAATAGGAAAAGAATAACATCCCCGAGTTTTATAGTCAAAGTGGGGAATATTGTTCCTTTGCAGACATTTGAGATGTAAAAAAATTTTTTTCATCCTTTTTTTTTTTTTTTTACTGGTTTTTATTTTTTTTGAGAGAGAGAGAGAAAGAGAGAGAGAAAGGAGGTGCAGAGAGAGACAGGGACAGAGGATCCAAAGCAGGCTCTGTGCTGACAGCAGACAGCCCAATGCAGGACTTGAACTCATGAATCACAGATCATGACCTGAACTATAGTCAGACATGTAACTGACTAAGCTACCTAGGTGCCCCTTTCAAATTTTCTTAATATAAGAAACTTGTGTCAGAATAATAGTTTAGCCAACTATGTGAACCTCAAAATCTCTCACCCATTCTACCAAGAACTTGTTTAGCTAAGGGAGGAATTTAAGTGCCATTTTCTTCTTTTTTTATTTCTAATGTTTATTTTTTTCTTTTTGAGAGAGAGACAGAGGGCATAAGGGGAGAGGGGCAGAGAGAGAGAGACAGACAGACAGACAGACAGACAGAATCTGAAGCAGGCTCCAGGCTCTGGGCTGTCAGCACAGAGCCTGACATGGGGCCCAAATCCACGAACTGTGAGATCATGACCTGAGCAGAAGTTGGACACTTAACTGACTGAACCACCCAGGCGTCCCTAAGTGCCATTTTCAAAGTACTTAAAATGCTATTACTATGGCATTCTATTTTTTGAAGATTAGCCAGTTGGACCAGATGAACTGAGTTATGGACTTCAACCCTTATGTTCCTTTCCAGGTTTTACATCACAGGTTAGAATTTTTATTTGAACAAACATCCCTTTAAAACTACCTAACTCAGTGTACCTGGTTGGCACAGTCAGTTAAGTCTTCAACTTCGGCTCAGGTCATGATCTCACGGTACATGAGTTCGAGCCCCACATCAGTCTCTGTGCTTACAGGGTGGAGCCTGGTTGGGATTCTCTCCCCTTCTCTCTCTTCTGTGCACACGCACAAAAATAAACATTTAAAAAATATATAAAACTATCTAACTCTTACTGCACATGACCACGTTTAGACAGTGAAAGTGCTGCAGTCCCATGGAGGGCCACTTACAGAAGGTGCAGTGGGCACAAGGTCATTTTCCGTTCTTCCTGTCTGCATTGCTGTGTGAACCCGGACGGATTCGTAAATGGAAGGTTCCTCCACTTTCCTTGGATAGGGATGTTTCAGAACAATCAGAGTGCCTGGATGAAGATAAAAGAACATAATCAAAGAGGAGCCCCAGAAAGAAGGTCCAAATGTTAATGACCAGATAACTCTGGCTGGATGTCAGTCTCGTGTTTTTTTACCTATTCACTCACTCGTTTCTAGACACGTATCGAGTACCAAGTTTGTGCCAGGCACTTAAGCTGGGCGCTGCAGTCGTAACGGATGATGCAAGGGTTTCCATACTCCTAGTGCTCAGATGGATCCAGCATGGGATGTCACTTAACGGGCAGTTGTAGGCACAAACAGGGTGACAAAGCCAGTGTCAGAGGGGTGGACAAAGCATGCTGGTGGTCCCCGGACCCCAGAAGATCCCTCCTAGGGAACACTTCGGAAAAGCTTTCGTAGAGGGGACGATGTGGACCCAGCCCTTAAGCTGTCCCTGGAGGTTTACCGGGCAGGCTTTAATAAAGCCATGAGGACCCTCCTACACTGTTGGTGGGAATGTAAACTGGTGCAGCCCCTCTGGAAAACAGTGTGGAGGTGCCTCAGGAAACTAACAATAGAACTCCCCTATGACCCAGCAATAGCACTGCTAGGAATTTACCCCAGGGATACAGAAATGCTGATGCATAGGAGCACATGGACCCCAATGTTCATAGCAGCACTCTCCACAATAGCTAACACATGGAAAGAGCCTAAGTGTCCATCAACAGATGAATGGATCAAGAAGATGTGGTTTATCTATACCATGGAATACTACACCGCAATGAGAAACAATGAAATCTGGCCATGTGTAGCAACATGGATGGACCTTGAGGGTGTTATGCTGAGCGAAATAAGTCAGGCAGAGAAGGACAAATATCATATGTTTGCACGTATAGGAGGATTAGGNTATCCTATGTTTGCACTTATAGGAGGATTAGGAGGAACTTGACGGAGGAACAAGGGGGAGAAGAAGGGCGGAAATGGTGGGGGAAAGGGAGAGAGGCAAACCATGAGAGACTCTTGAATGCTGACAAAAACTGAGGACTGATGGATGTGGGGGGGAGGGGGGAGGGGCATGGAGGAGGGCACTTGTGGGGATGAGCACTGGGTGTTATGTGGAAACTAATTTGACAAGAAACTATTTGTAAAAAAAAAAGAAAAATTATATCACCTCAAAAAAAATAAATAAATAAAATAAAAATAAAGCCATGAGGGCAAAACCCAGTAAATGCACCGGGGCATGGGAGGATTTAGTCCATAGACCTTATGTCTCGCTAGTTTCAGAACAAACTTGGTAACAAATCAGTGGATCTCAAAAAAGCGGGACTCATAGCATTTTGCCCACTGTCTCCTGCCACCCACTTAACAAAATAAGCTATGTGAAGCTTTTGCCTTTTCCTCAAGTGAACTTGACCTGAACTGGCTTATGTGTGATTGCCTTCACTTCCATCTGGAGGAGGGGATTGGGCAGCAAAAGGGCTTCAACAGGGGCCCGTCTTTGGGGCCTTGGGCATGGCACGCTGGAGCTGAGAGCCCTTCTGACACCACGTTTCTGACCTTCCCCCCTCTATACCCTTCCCTTCCCCAATCAACCAGCCCAGCAGGAATGAGATATTTTACAAAAAGAGTAAGTCAAGGGTTTTTTCCCCAAAAGGCTTCTTGCTTTTTATTTCACTGGGTCTTGTAAAGGCAAGACAGAGATTATACCAAACATGGTGTGTGTGGGGGGGGTGAGGGGGAGATGTAAAGAATGCAGTAAGTCATCCAACAAATACTTATTGGGCTATACTCTGGGAAAGACACTTGACCAGGCAGAAGGAATACAACAGCAAACAAAGAAGATATAGCACGTGATCCTCTACTTGGTGGGGGGGGGGCACGCAGAAAAAAAATGAAAAGTATGTCAAGTGAGAGAAGTGTTATGGAAACCCTAAGAAAGCACAGTAAAGGCATAGCGGATGATGAGGGCAGCATCCGGAGAAGGTGGTATTTTAAAGGGTGGTCAGAAAGGCTTCTCCAAAAAGGTACTTCAAAAGATTATAGAAAGTATGGACCTTGAATTGGAGTAAAAGAGAGAGAGACACGAGTAAAGAGAAAAACCACCTCTGCGATTAAAAGGCACTTGATAATAATAATAGACCTACGAACAAAGCCAAACCATTCCACGGTGCTCGAGCAAGCGCAACGTACTGGCTGCAAACACACAGCCGTGGCCTCTGACACTGCGCCTGCATGGCGCCCTGCTATCGCTTGAAAAGGAACACTGAGAAGAGCCAGGAGAGGGTCCTTGACCTTGGCCCCAGAAAAGAATGAGCCTCTGGGCTCCTCCTCCTTGAGCATCCAGTTCATACCCGTAGCATGAGGATTACAGTGAAAACTGGCTGTTGCAGGTATCAGACGGCCCGGCCCCACTCTTGCACACTGTCAGTGCTCTCCCGTCAATGTGACCCTTTCATGAGAACAGATCCAGTCATATGAGGACAAGGGGCCAGTTACAGTTTTACAGTCAGAGTGAAAGCAGAGACATGTAAATCTAGAGCAGCCGTTGTGCAGCTCAGGGGCGGTGTGACACAAGCCCAGCATGCCAGATGCTTGGTGAGTGTGCGGTCGGCTCCACAGTGACCCGTCCCGGGGAGTCACCCCCACTGATGTGCCGGTCGGTCACCGTGGCATTATGGAAAGAGCCACCACTGCTACTCAGTGCCTGTTGACCCTTGGACGATCGTTCTAGCTTCTGTTTCCTCCCCAGCTACTTGAGAATAATAACGCTGTCTTCACAAGGCTCTTTGAAGCACCAAATCAGAAATGTTTGTGAAAAGGATAGTGAAAAAGAAAATGTTAGATGTTACTAGGCTTTGATACAGAGTAGTTTTACATTCTTTGTAAAAAATTTTTTTTAATGTTTCTTTTTTAATTTTGAGAGAGAGAGAGACAGAGGGTGAGTGGAGGAGGGACAGAGAGAGAGGGAGACACAGAATCTGAAACAGGCTCCAGGCTCTGAGCTGTCAGCACAGAGCCCGACGCGGGGCTCGAACCCACAAACCGTGAGATCATGACCTGAGCCGAAGTTGGACGCTCAACCGACGGAGCCACCCAGACACCCCAGTTGTAAATTCTTAAATGAAAATCCAACGATTGCGTCTTTGGGAACACGGATTTTTACATGTTGAGTTTACAAAGACCCCCGTGTGACATTCTGCCAGGAGTGAAGACAGCAGAGTCTCGTAGCCCCTGATGGCAGCTCTGAGATGTATCGGTGCCTCCTAAAGTCTTCCGTCTAATCGTGGAGGAGAGGGGACTAGACCCCAGGGCTCAGAGCAGCTCCCAAGTTAGAAAAAATGTGAAATCTTATGCTTTCTCCCTTTCCCATATATACTTTTTAAGTTTATTTATTTATTTTGAGAAAGAGAGCAAGCGGGATAGGGGCAGAGGGAAAGAGGGAGAATCCCAAGCAGGCTGAGATCAAGATCTGAGCTGAAATCAAAGAGTTGGATACTTAACCGCCTGAGCCACCGAGGTGCCCCTACTTTTCCATATGTTTAATACTAAAATAATTTTTATAAGGATCCAAACTACGTCTGTGACCCATTTTTTTAAAAAAAATTTCTAATGTTTATTTTTGAGAGAGAGAGAGACAGACAGACAGACAGAGAGTGAGTGGGGGAGGGGCAGAGAGAGGGAGACACAGAATCTGAAGCAAACTCCAGGGTCTGAGTTGTCAGCACAGATCCCGAAGTGGGGGGCGGGGGGGCTCAAGCCCACAAACCGCAGGATCATGACCTGGCCTGAAGTCGGATGCTTAACCGCCTGAGCCACCCAGGCGCCCCAATATGAAAATAATTTTTTAAATGATGCTTTAGAAAGATGTTTCTAGCCACTCCTTTTCTGGCACGTACCCAAGCATATACCTGTAGTGGTTTCCTATTGTTTCTGTAACAAATCACCACAAACGTAGTGATTTAACACAACTCAAATTTATTACCTTACAGTTCTAGAGTCATTAGTCTGAAATGGGTCTCATAATCAAAAATCAAGATAGTGTCAGGGCTGCTTTCCTTCTGGAAAGGCGCTAGGGGGGAATCCATTCCCTGTCTTTTCTAGCTTCTAGAGACTGCCTGCATTCCTGGCCTGGTGGCCACATTCCTCCATCTTCGAAGCCAGTAACAGCGTGTCAAAGCCTGCCCACGCTGCTATGTCTCTGGGTCTCCCTCTTGTGCCTCCGTCTTTCACTTGTAAGGATCCTTATGATTACAACGGACATGCCTGGGAAATCCAGGGTACCCTCCCCAGCCAAAGTCAGCCGACTCGTAGTCTTAATTCTACCTGTAAGCCTACTTTCCTTGTGCCACATAACAGAACATATTCACAGGTCGAGGGAGAGACATGGGCATCTTTGGTGGGGGGGCATTATCTTGCCTATCACAGCACAGTGCCCAGGAGATAAGCATAGCCTTGGGGGCCAGCTGTGCCACAGTGTAAGGATCTCTGGGTGCAGCCTGAGTCACAATGCTATAACCACTTGGTATTATAAAGCCATTGCCTTTGCAACAGGTACATTTCCCAACCCTGTGAGTCTCTTCGAAGGAGGTACAGTGCCAAGTTTACCTTTGTAATCCTACCTCCTGATACAGATGCTAACATAATGAAGGCTTGATGAATGAGTGCATAAATGGATGCCGTAGTCATTCAGGCTTAAATCAGAGAAGAGCCTGGAAGGAACCAGCCTCCCAGGCCCACAATTACCCCGGTTGGGGGGCAAGGTCGAGTACAGCTGTCCAAATCTCTGCTGGGGGGAACCAAATTCTATTTTGAAAACCTCTTCTAAAGTTTCACCAACAAAAGCTAAGCTGAGGGAAATGATATTGAGTCAGCAGGAAAGTAGAATTGACTATAGATTGACTTTACCTCATAAGACCATGAAGGAGGCTGGATTGAATGGGGGAATGAAGAAAATGGCAAAGTACTTATAAAATGATAACTTCCACTGATAAAAATCCAGCCTCCTGAAAGACAGGCCTTCTTAGCTGGCCAGTCTGCCCAAGAGAAAACA